CTTGAGAGGAAGTCGTGCTAGTCATAAGAACAATAATTTGAAAAATCCAATATGGCGGAAGAGGCAGCTGTGTCGTTGGCTAGCCTGCCAGCATATCCGAACTTCCACGTCCGTGAAGAACCGACAACGTTGTTCCAACGATGGAATAAGTGGAAAAAAGGCTTCAACAATTTAATGAAAGCCATGAACGTTCGAAATCAGGAACAGCAGAAAGCTATTCTGCTGTACGTGGCAGGCGAAGAGTTCACAGAGATTTTCGATAATCTTCTGGACACTGGGGAATCGTGCGACCATGCACTTGCTGCGTTTGATGCGTACGTTAGACCCCATAACAACGTGGAGTACGAGATTTTCAAGTGCAGGACTGCAAAACAGGAAGCGCATGAAGACATTGATGCGTTTCATGTAAAGCTAAGGAAACTGTCGTCGAACAGTGAGTTTAATAACGTGGAGAGAGAGATTAAAACAGATAATTCAGAGCTGCAGGTCATCAAAACTTAGAAGGAAAGCATTGCAGTATCCAGAACAGACGTTGAATCAGCTTCTAGCAGCGTCAGCCACTACCTCTGCCATCATTTCTTCTGTCAATTACTTCAGTTGGATGAGGTTGATCATCTAATATTTTCGTCATTCTATCATACCAATCTAAATCCTGTAATAATGTTAGAATTGTTGAATTGATGTTGCATCTAGATAAGAATCTGAACATGATGATGACGTTTATTTTTGTATGTAACGTTGTTTGTGACTCAGAGAGACAATCTAATACTCCATTAAATATTTGGAAACAAATATGTAAATATGTAAACAAGCAAGTAAATAAAGACAGGAAGAAAGTAGAGACTAGAGTATCATTATGATTATGTACACATAGACCGAGAGAGTAATGACTAAATGAGTATGCATGCAGCATTATGAGCAGAGTCTATAGACGCGCTATATATCGTACTATTTACGGTTACCTCTACTTCCTCAAATCTTGCAACCTCACTCACTTCCATTTGAAGTGCACCAGCAATAAAAGTTATGTTGATGCAAATTCTAATCTATTTATTTGATAAACTTTGTCGAGCTCTGTAAGACTGTTGTGTATGCTCTCTATAGACGCACATGATGTACACATGCGACCGGAAATAAAGCATGCCCGAGTGCGCGAGAATCAGCGCGGCCGAACCAACGGGCGATAATATTATTTAATATATTATATAATGATATTATTTAACAAATAATATATTATATAAATAAATAATACATTTAACAAATAATATATTATATAATTAAATAATACATTATTTAGCAAATAATATACAATTATTGACCTATTTTCAGGTGAATACGAGGATTTATTAACCCGAGACGGTGATATTTTCCGAGGCCTGACGCCGGGCCGAGGAAATATCACCTTCGAGGGTTAATAAATCCTCGTATTCACCTGAAAATAGGTCAATAACTGTTTTATTATATGACATTTTTTATAAACTTAACCATGTGTAGCACCAATCCATACTTAGTTTTAAGCTGGTCATCGGAAACAGTTCCAAATCTTGTCAAACCGGGTTTGTTTACACTGTCGTCTGCCATTTTCACTCCAGTGAGCGCAACGACAATCCGCGCTTCTGATTGGTCAAAAATTGCAGCACAGGTTCCTGGATTATGATATTCACCTGCGAGGCGCCCGAACGGGTTTTGGAATTGTTTATATTCACCTCGCGTGCACGGATTCTGTAGGTTTCGGTGGAACATCGCAATATATTTAGATCTATAAGAGGGGTTTTGACCAATCAGCGTGTGGGAAAAATGACAGTCATATAATAATATATTATATAAATAAATAATACATTATTTAACAAATAATACATTATTTAACAAATAATACATTATATAAATAAATAATACATTATTTAACAAATAATACATTATTTAACATAGTGTAGCGGTATGTTCTATTAGATATATTTTAGCGATAGATGGCGCAACCGTGCGGAATAGGCGGGGCGTATAGGCCGACTTCCTTTTATCATTACGAGAGATAAGGGGATACGTACGTGGAAAGGAGAAGACTCGCCGGGGTTGGCAAAATATTCTCGTGTAGGAATTATGTCGTGACCTGGGTGTTTTGAATAAAGCATCCACATAAACCTTCTTAAACTGTGTTGTTGCGTTGTTCTTGTGAACTGCACCTCACTTCGAGACAGGTAGTAGCCTTGGACCGCTACATTTTGGCGCTGCGAGCAGGGTACTTTTAGGGTACCACGTTCGAAACACTTCTCGTTGACATTTGTCATTTGGACTGGACCTAACGCAAGGTTAGGCTGTACGAGGTGCCTCGTTGTGCGGTGACATGGCAGCATACTTGAGGCATTTTACGGCAGAGCACATTTCTCGGTTGTGCGAGGTCAACAACATTGACCAGAAAGCACTGAAGACAAAAGAGCCACATGTTTTTGAGCCGGACCGCCCTCCCAGTGAAAGTGGAGCGGACATGGTTGTTCCCCTGAGAGCCCTGAAAGAAGACCAGCGAGAAGACAGTGAACGGCTGTGTCAGGTTCTAGCGGCTGCTTTGTCTAATGATAGGCGGGCTAACCAGACGCCACAGTTACATGGTCTACACAGGCTGTTACCAGAAGATGACATTCACTGTTACCTAGATACCTTTGAGAGGCTAGCTCTCAGGGCTGGCCTAGAACAAGAAGTGTGGCCTCGCGTTCTGGAGCCTTGCCTGACTGGTAAAGCCCAGCAAGCATTTAATCTTCTCCCAGATACTGAGAAGGACCTATACAAGAAAGTTTGGGAAGCTATAGCACGGCGTTATAACCTAACCCCCCGAAGCCTACCGGGCGAAGTTTCGCACTGCCGCCAAGGAGAGCCACAAAACGTTCGAGGACTTCACCATCCGGCTAGACTCCTACTTCCGCCGCTGGCTGGAACCTGCAAGCAAGCTGGCCACTTCTCTGGAATTCAAAAGGGTCTATTCCCTCATCATAAGGAACCAGTTCTTGTCTGCAATCCCTGACGATGCTCTGAAGCAGAGGCTATTGGACCATCAGTTCGGGTCTATACCGGATTTGGCACGACTCGCCGATGACTACGTGACGTTACGGCGAGACACCCAAAGGCTACCGAACTCTATACCTCAGACAAGCGATGAACAGCCTGTTTGCTACATTGGCCCACGGGACACCAAGTCGAAATACTCTGAGGTTTGCTACCGTTGCCGACAGGTAGACCACAAGTCTAACAAGTGTCGGATGCCCGCGTATGCAGCAGGTGAAAACCCCCCACAGAAAGGTTTCAAGCAGGAGCAAAACCGACCGGACCCACGGTGAAGCATGTTCGTGAGCTATCAAAAGAGCTTCACATGCCCGTGCATCAGTACGACGACCCCCTGCTCCAGGTGGGGTTGGACGACAGTTTGCTATATGCAATCGTCGACAGCGGATCCCTCGTCAGTTTTATAGATACGAGACTTTTGCACTGCTGTTGTAAGTTCGATGACTCGGTAACCTCTACCTTTAAAGTAATGAATTGGACAACTTTCGAGACATTGGAACAGGTAGCTGGACATAGCTGGACACACCTCGACTTGTACAATGTATGTCACCGATCACATACCGCGACCAGCCACCGTGCTCCTTGGAAGAGATCACTGCCGCCAGACTGGGTTGGTAATGAACTACGCAACGAACAGCTACTGGATTGAAGGAACACACCCCCTTATTAAGTGGTCCTTGATGTCGTCTGAGTTTCCAGAGACCGCCACGAGTCCTGATCAACTAGAGAAAGATCCAACAGACATATACCTGCCAGAGAAGCTCAATCTGCCAACTGTTTCAGGCAGTGACCTCACTGGTAGTCAGCAAAGCATTCTGGACAGCTTGCTCAATGCCAATGCGGACGTGCTTAGTGACAAGCCAGGATGGACAGATTGGCCTTATCATTACATCCGATCAGGCGACGCCTCCCCCATCAGGTCTATGCCTTACCGCCTGTCTCCCCTGAAGAGAGGGGCCCTTAAACAACAGCTACAGGACCTACAGGACCTAAGGGATCGTCATACCTTCCGAATCTCCATGGGCATCACCCGTTGTCATGGTGCCGAAACCAAACGGGAAAGAGTTCAGGTTGTGTGTCGACTATATGAAGCTGAACAATGTTACGAAGCTGGACGCATATCTTTTGCCCACTATAGAGTCCATCCTAGAGTCGCTGCATGGAGCGAAGTATTTCAGCTCCCTGGGCATGAGAGCAGGTTACCACAAGATGGGGCTGGACAAGGAAGATAGAGAGAAGAGTGCTTTTGTCTGCGAAGAGGGCTTTTTCGATTTCTCCGTTCTTCCCTTCGGAGTCGTCAATGGACCAATCAGTTTCCAGAGACTCATGGAAAAGGTGCTCGCACCCTTGAAACGCATCAGTTGTTACGTCTACCTTGACGATGTAGTCATCATAAGCACAACTTATGATGAACACCTACGGGACATTGCACAAGTCCTAGATAGGTTCCGCATGGCAAGCTTGACAGACAATCCTGGGAAGAGCAACTTTGCCTGCACCCAGATGCACTATCTAGGCTACCAGGTTACCACGGTTGGGTTGTGCACTGTTCCAGATAAAGTGGAGGCCGTGGTAAAATACCCCATCCCCATGAGGGTTAAAGAACTAGAAAGGTTTCTTGGGATGGTCGGCTGGTATGCCAAATTCATACCGAACTGCCATGACATAGCCGCGCCTCTCAATCGACTACGTCGTAAAGCAGAGCCGTGGCGGTGGACCACGGAGTGTCAGGCAGCTTGCGTGCAGTTCACAGTCGAGCACATCACAGTAGAAAAACGCTGAAGCCTTTCCTCAGATACGTCACGGACCTCACATTACATTATTACACACAAATTACATCAACAAATACGAATACACACAAAGTTCTTTGTAAAATAAAGAACGTGATATTTAAAACCAAGAAGAGACTGATATTTCCCGCTTCCGGTTACACCGACCTGACGATCAAGATGGCAGAGGCCGTTATGTCTATCGATGAGGCCACGCTGGCGGATATCATGGTCAGCTTCAATCTCGTCACCATGCTCGACATAAACCCCGAGGACTACCTGGGTTTCGGAATGAGGAATTCCGAAATCTACAGAAAGATGTTCTTGGAGAAGACCAGCAGGTTAAACCCGGTGGAGAGGACCATGGTGGTAGTGTTGGCCACCGCTGTGAAGAACCGCCGACGCATCCTCTCCGCTCTGGGGAAATTTGCCTCGCGACCCTGGCACGACCCGGACAGAAACTACTTCAGGAACTCCACCTGTCAGTACACGAACGAAGAGACGGAGAGATTGTTCTCTGTCGTTCCCATCCCATCGTGTGTCCCCTTCATGGCGGCGAATGCGTGGAAAGCGACCCAGATAGCCTCCAACAAAACCCTTCAGGGGTTCACTTCTCGTGGCGGTGTCTATGCGGTGAGGGTGCCTTTTCAGGTGCTCCCGGTTAATCCAGTCCAACCGCTCAGAACCCCGGGAAATGGGTACCCGTATTTGTTGATGTAATTTGATGTGAGGTCCGTGACGTATCTGAGGAAAGGCTTCTGCGTTTTTCTACTGTGATGTGCGCCCGCAGAGACGAGGAAGTAGAAGAAGACTCAGGCTGCAGTTCATACCAGCCATTTTATTCGCTACACACGTTACCATGTCTACGCGAATAGAGCATGGCTACATACGTAGCGAATAAAATGGCTGGTATGAACTGCAGCCTGAGTCTTCTTCTTCTTCCTCGTCTCTGCGGGCGCACATCATGGGCTTTATAATAAGAAACGTAAAGATGTAAACATCTCTCTAGGAGATCTTGTATGTGTGGGTGCGGAAACTTTCTAACGCGGTGCAGAACTATATGGCAAAACTGGGACCCAGGTACAAAGGTCCTTACACTGTCCTAAAGTCACTCACCTCTGTAACGTTCAGACTGCAGAATGTTGCCAATAAGCGAGAGATTATTGTTTCTCATATCAGCGATTTAAAGGTGGTGTAAACTTAATTTCGTACAGTTCTTCGGTGGTACTGTCTGCATTTTCTTCATGTGCTGTTGTCATGTTTTTTTACAACATTACGTAAATGCTAAAGAGTGTGTATCGGTATATTCGGTATGTGTATCGGTATGTTCTACTACATATATTTTAGCGATAGATGGTGCAACCGTGAGGAATAGGCGTATGAGCTGACTTTCTTTTATCATTACGAGAGTTGAGGGGATACGTTCTTAGGAAGGAGAAGATTCGCCGGGGTTGACAAGATATTCTCGTGTAGGAATTATGTTGTGACCTGAGTGTTTTGAATAAAGCATCCACATAAGCCTGATTAAACTGTGTTGTTGCGTTGTTCTTGTGAAGTGCACCTCACTTCGAGACAGGCAGTAGCCTTGGACCGCTACAATATTATATATTATATAAATAAATAATACATTATTTAACATATAATATATTGTATAATTAAATAATACATTATTTAACAAAAAATATATTATATAAATAAATAATACATCATTTAACATATAATGCTATTATTTAGTCAAAATACTGCTAAATAATATTTTAACTTCGGCACCTGGTGTTAGTATGTGGGGCCCCTGCCACGTGACAAACGCAGAAAAAAACAAGTAAACATCGAAACATACCAAGCCGTTGAATTTAAAAAAATAGATTCTGAACATGTTTCAAGCTTAACTGCAAGCCTTGTACCAGCTATATCACAAGCAATTGCGCAAGCTTTGCAACAGGCGCAGGTAAGTTTAGTTACTTTGGAAGTTGGTTTTTCTGAAAGTGTCAGGTTAAACCTAGAACTAGATTCCAATCAGACTGTGTCTATGTTGGGAGCTTATAGCCTAAGGCAGGCATGGGCAAAGTACGGCCCCCGGGCCGTATACGGCCCGTTGGGCTTTTTAATCCGGCCCGCCGAACTTGTCCAAATATTATTATTATTAAATTAAATTTTACCTTTCTCCTGTAATGCCCCCATTTCCACATTAGATGGCGCATGATCTCGCAATGCATTGTGGGCCGTAGCGCCATTTTCAGGGTTTGTTTACATTGCTGAGTTAGATACGGTGCTCCCTTTGTCCTGTGAGCCCTTCTGTAAAATGAGCGGATCACGGAAACGAAAAGTGGACAATGAGTGCCGAGTGTTTAACACGGAGTGGACAACAAAATACTTTTTCACTGAAAACCAATCGAAGGCTGTATGCCTGATATGCCGAGAAACTGTCTCAGTTTTCAAGGAGTACAACATCAGCCGTCACTTTGCTACGAAACATGCTAACTACGCTAGCAATCTGTCAACGCAAGAACGGGTGGCTACGGCTCAGAGGTTGGCGGCTAATTTAGAGACTCAGCAACATTTTTTTCACCGACAAACTGCGATTCAAGAGTCAACTACCAAGGCAAGTTTTTTGGTTTCATACGAAATAGCAAAGGCTAGCAAGCCTTTCTCCGAAGGCGAGTTTGTAAAAGAATGCATGGTACAGACAGCAGACATGTGACTGTGACTCGCCGTGTGGAACTGATTGATGAAAATGTAGCCAGCCAATTAAACAAAAAGTCTGAATTCTTTGAGTTATATTCACTAGCACTGGATGAAAGTACGGACGTAAAAGACACTGCTCAGCTCCTCATTTTTATCCGAGGCATTGACGACAGTTTTACAATAACAGAGGAGTTTTTGACCATGGAGTCCCTGAAAGGAACAACGCGGGGAGAGGACTTGTATAACCAGGTGTCTGCTGTCATCGAAAGAATGAAGCTTTTTTGGAGTAAACTTGTCAATGTCACAACGGATGGATCGCCAAATTTAACTGGAAAAAATGTTGGGCTGCTGAGAAGAATCAAGGATAAAGTGAAAGAGGAAAACCCTGACCAGGATCTTATTTTCCTTCACTGCATCATCCATCAAGAATCCCTGTGTAAATCTGTATTGCAGCTTAATCATGTCGTGAATCCAGTCGTAAAACTTGTGAACTTTATACGAGCAAGGGGACTTCAGCACCGTCAGTTTATTGCGTTCCTGGAGGAAACTGATGCGGATCATCAGGACTTGCTGTACCACTCTCGTGTCCGCTGGTTAAGTTTGGGGAAAGTGTTACAACGAGTGTGGGAGCTGAAAGATGACATCATCGCATTTTTGGAGTTGATGGGGAAATCTGACGAATTCCCTGAGCTAAGCGACAAGAACTGGCTTAGTGACTTTGCGTTTGCTGTGGACATATTGTCACACATGAATGAGCTGAATGTGAAACTGCAGGGGAAAGATCTGTTTGTTCACGACATGTACACACATGTGAAAGCCTTCATATCCAAGCTCACTTTGTTCTCCAGACAAATTGCGAACAAATCTTTCGCTCATTTCCCCACACTTGCCATGCAGGAAGAGGCACCGCGAAACGCAAAAAAATACAGCAAATCACTTGAGGACCTGCATGGAGAATTCTGCCGTAGGTTCTCTGATTTCGAAAAAATTGAACAGTCACTTCAGCTGGTGTCCTGTCCCCTGTCACAAGACCCTGAAACAGCACCAGAGGAGCTGCAGTTGGAACTGATAGATCTTCAGTCTGACTCCGTCCTAAAGGAGAAGTTCAACTCTGTTAAACTGAATGACTTTTATGCTTCACTTAACAGAGCCACGTTTCCAAACCTCCGGAGGACTGCACAGAAGATGCTGACTTTGTTTGGCTCGACTTATGTGTGTGAGCAGACATTCAGCGTTATGAACGCCAACAAAGCCCGTCACAGATCAAAGTTAACGGATCAGCACCTCAGATCTATCCTGAGAATTGCCACAACCAAAATAACTCCAGACTTGGATGCACTGGCAAAAATGGGAGATCAACAACACTGTTCCCACTGAAACTGAAAGTGATGATGTGTTGCTGCAGCGAGGTTGGAGCCAAATCTCCTACACACAGCCTGCGTGGCTGCTCTAACCTGTTAATGTAAATAATAAAGAAGTTCAAGTGAGGTAATTGGTTTGGGCGCAGGCCTCAGATGTTTTCATGATGTTTGATCAGTCACGTTACGACATGTTTTTGTATTGTTCATGTTCGTGCAATTTGTTAAATTGCCTTGCAAATAAATGCTTTGCTACCTGTCAAAGGCCAAATCCTTTTATGTAATGATTTTTACATGTCATTTATATTAGTTCACACAAACACTCCATCCATCTGTTCCTGGACCCGGCCCCTCTGTCAAATTTTAGAACCCATTGTGGCCCGCGAGTCAAAAAGTTTGCCCACCCCTGGCCTAAGGCCTGCCCTAATTAGTCCTGAAATTCATGACCGCCTGTACATACATGATACACCGGGTCATGAATTTCAGGACTAGCTCTAGTATAGGCCTACTCCTTTTTACTTATTTAAACAGAGGCCACTGTCTTTTTTAGCAGAACACCTGGTGTGTAAAGTATATTTGCGCCATTGTTTGTGGTATGGGCCTGAAAATTGTATGAATTAAATTTTTCATGGGAATTACTTAATTGTAGTTGTACACTGGTTATTCGTTTGACCCCGGAACTAAACCTAGTAGTAGTAGTAGTGGCTATTTGTCCAACGTAGAGCCCAGGTTGGAATGCTTGTAAAGTACGCACTGAAATGTGAAAATGGAGGTTCACAATAATTGCTGAGCTGCTTGCTCACACTATACTGTACTAGGACTCACTTTATGAGCAAAATCATGCGTAGGCCTATGAAAAATGCAACCCACAATTATCTTACTGCAAAAGATGAGCCCTTAACATTACATAATCAAAAGTTTTGAACAAGCTAAGCGACGTCGGAAGTATTTTGTGATTTTCAACTTCATCGTGTATATATAACTGTGTTTTAATTTCATAGGCATGTTAACGTTTACATATAAATGTTTTTCAATTTTATTTTACAGATTCAAGTGAATAACAATGTTCGGGTGGGGCGTCCTCGTAAAGAAGTGTCAAAGATACATCAATAGAAAACATGCTCATGTTACACTTTGCACTAGCAGTGATTGCAAGAAAGATTGGATATTTCAAAGCCAACACTAAATGCCAAAATGCTTAAGTTTGGCCTGAACAAGCCTAGTTTTGCATCTATTTCTGATGACGACCTCAATACACTTGTTAGAAGTATAAAGCAAGAACATCCTAACGTTGGATCCAAGCTGCTTATGGGGCATAATCGTCCTCACGGTTATATCAAACCCAGGAGAAGAATTCGTAGAGCTTTGCAGCATGTTGATGCTCATGGTATAGCTGAGAGGTGAAGAAAAACAATAACGCGTAGAGTATACCATGTGTCCTACCCAAACTATCTTTGGCACATTGATGGTAACCATAAACTCATCAGGTGGAGGTTCGTGGTTCATGTTGGCACAGATGGTTATAGCCGTACTTGTGTTTCTATTGAGTGTATTGGCAATAATAAATCAAAAACTGTTGAAAATGTTTTTCACAATGCTGTTACCATTTTTGGAGAACCGAAACGGGTTCGTAGTGATTTTGGAGGAGAAAATGCCAATGTATGAAAACTTATGTATGAACTTCATGGGTAGGAAAGCAGACCAGTGATTGTGGGTAGTGTTCACAACGAGCAGGTAGAAAGATTCAACAGGGATATTAACATAAACTGCAAAGACAATATGCCCCAATTTTTCATGGGTTAGAATCTATTGGAAAACTTGATTCCATCAATGATACTGACCTTTTCTGTTTGCACTATGTGTACCTACCAAGAATCAACCGCACACTGCTTGAATTTTCAAATGCCCACAATAATCACTGTGTTTCAACGGAAAGCAATCGTACACCTCTGCAAATGCTATTTGGAGACAGACATCTCGTAGACCTTCACTCCAATGTACCTGTAAACGATCCGTATGGCAGCGAGCAAGTTGATTCCTTTTTGCAAAGGGACACTTTGCCACATTTTATTGTTCCAGAAATTAGCGTTGCTCTCAATCAGTCAGAAATAGAAGAACTACAGCAGCGCATAGACCCACTAAGCAATGATAGGAGTAATGGCACTGAACTTTACCAGCAGCCGTTAGATTTTGTTGGATCTTGCATACTGAATAAGCTTTAGATTTCTAGATATCACTGGCTGTCCTCATGATGCTATTTGATCATGTCATTATTTATAAACAATTCTTGAGAGTAAAATTACAAATGTATTCTGATCTCACTTGAACTCTCACATAGTGATTTACCTTGGTTTTCCTGAATGTTCAGTTTTTGTATGAATGTTAATAATACTAACAAACTAGTATTTTATACATATCATAGTATGTACATGTAGTTATTGAGTAATTAACTGATAAGAGAACTGAGTTATTGATATTCAAATTCATCTGCATTTTATTTAAAAATAAACTGTAAAGAAATGTTATATGAACAAACTTGAGCTGCTCTGTAAGTATAACAGATACATATACACAGAAACACAATCGGCACACCAGCTAGATATCAAAGTGATTCAAACATCACAGAGAAAACTAAAATAGGCAGGTTAACTATTAAAAAAACAGCAACGAAATACTGTAATTGAGCTGCATCACAAGTATAACATATACACAGAAAGACAATCATAGCACCTCCTAGATAGTGTTACACTATATATAGAAGTGTTAGTGTGCAGCGGCAGCCATGGCGGCCGGTAGCGTTTGTTGCACATAGAGGATTTGTGTACAAGGGTTAGGGTTAGGGTTAGGGTTGAACCCCTAGTACAATACGGTGCTGCATTAATTAAGCTTGTAGCGAATGACTACATTAACTTCTTTGTTTCCTTTAGTTATAAATGGTTTATTTATTTATTTTCGTAACAAGCACCAGCGGATCACACACGTTCTTCTAAGACTTCTTTATTCTCTTATTTTCTGCCTAATGTCGTCTTATATAACATAACGATCGAACGAACGTATCTGAACGAACGTATCTTACATAACGATCGAACGAACGTATCTGAACGAACGTATCTTACATAACGATCGAACGAACGTATCTGACCGAACGAACGCACGAACGATTCTGAACGGTTAATCTGAAATCAAATTCAAAGAACAAATTTACTATTTACTGTATCTGCAATGCTGTATGTGTAGCTCGCTATGAATAACAAATTTTCTGGTAATACAATTCAAATACATGTACGGCAATCACCGCCGAGGCTGCTACTATTACTTAGAAATACATTTATAATTATCTATAAACTCAAATCCCTTACCACGCTGGGTTCATCTGGTTTTAATAGCACATTAAATTTTGCGTCTTCACCGTAAGCCACAATGGCGAAAAAGAAAGCGCGCGTCACCTCCCCTAGCAACTTGGCTGTATCAATGCGCTGCTGCGCTGCTAAAGTAGTGCACCGCGTAACCGCGTTAAACCGCCTAGCGGCAGGAGTTGTCACCAACAAAGCTAGAGGTAGAGGCAATTGTTTAGGTAGAGGCAAGATTAACAGTGCAACCTAGTTTTCTTTACTCGTAAATCAGTATTCCTCTTTTGCAAAAAGGCGATGCCCATAGAAGTAAATCACTATAGTTTCAAAGACTATGATAACTTTTTGTTACTCTTTGCCCGATTTCATTGTTCAAATTCACTGGTTGTTTCAAAGACATTAAGCATTATTCATAAAGCTTTATGATCCTATAGATGGCGCTGATGCATGTAAAGACCGTTTGAAATTTTCTCTGATTGATTCATCTAAAAACTCATCAAACTCAACATATTTCTCGGAAATACTTCTTCCATAATCATCATAACCTCACGAAGATTAAAGTCTGCTAAAAGGATAAGAAATCGCCGCTTCTATCTACATTCTAAAGAGTTCATTGAATCACATTGAGACTGCGTGATCACGGCGAGCCTCAACAGCATATAACGGTCATCACTGGTTACATCGACGGCATAGTAGCTCTACCAGAAGTCTCCCGAATCACTAGGAAATCCATCTATCCTACGTATGTCGCGGAACAGGAGAACTAAAGACTCGACATCTGTCCTCCCAGACTCCGATACCGAGGAGAGGGCAATGAAAGAAGCGGATGTTCAGACGCTGCTACAAGGCATGGAGCAACGCCTGAAATCGTCCATAGAGGTATCCGTAATGAAGTAAGAGAAACCATAGATGCAAAACTATCTGACATATACAACGACATTGGAGACATTCAGCAGTTTATGTCAACCCAATATGAGTCCATGAAAACTAACCTCGAAAATTGCCTCAATAAAATGAAAATACTTGAGGATGAAAATAAACTACTAAAATCGACATTCACTCTAGAACGGCAAATTATCACAACTAACACTGCAGTCAATGATCTGGAGCAATATAGCCGCAGGGATATCATTGAAGTCTCTGGGATTCCTCAAACTGATAATGAATGCACAAACTCACTCATTCAGAAACTAGCAACACAAATGCAGGTACTTCTAAAACATGACGACATCAGCATCTCGCACCGTCTACCAAAACCAAGATCTGGGGCTAACCCAGCTATCATAGTAAAATTCGTGAAGCGTGATGCAAGAGACATGTTCCTTGCTGGTAAAAAAATGCGGGAACAGCAAGAGGTCTAGGCTTCACATCACCTGGCTCAATTTACATTAACGAGAGCCTGAGACAAAATAACCGAGCACTCTATTACCATGCACGGCAATGAAAACGCATACTGCAATATAAATATGCATGGACTCGACATGGCCTCATCTGCATGAAGCAGTCGGATGTTTCCGAAACAATACATATTAAAACGATGGAAGATTTATCTAAATTGGGCTACACACAAGCACAAGCGCGCAATTAAAATGGTAAGACAGCTTTGTGTTACCTTTGGTTTGTGTAATGGTACGCTTTCCCTGTGGGCAATTCCAGGCAAACATGGACATGACCAAAAAAATAATAATTTATTAGCCAGCTCAGAATTTGTGTTTCAATTACTGTTTGAATATGTAGGGACTAGATTGTTAACATTTCCAATTAATATATGACTTCTTATAGTAAAAAAAATACGTTTATTCAAATATTGAATTTTTTTTTTTTAAATGTATGAAAAATAGGTAATTACATGAACTGATTTTTTTCTTCTCATCAAAGCAATCTTTACAAAGTAACATACCAATGTAATAGTATACTTAAGATAATTCAAAAATAAAAAGCAACTACAATTGTTGAATATCCTGTAAAGGAGTATATGTGTACATTCTGTTACATATTCAGGATATGTAATGCGAGTGACAAAAAAATAGCTTTTTTTTTTACAGCAACATCATAATTATTATTTTTAATGAAATTCTATAATTTACCTATAATGTTAATAACAATTAAAATTTGACAAATAAAAATTTAACATCCCTGTAAATACTAAATTTTTGAGACATCGAAAACTGAAATGCGAGTGACATGTAATACGAGTGACGTCTGAAAATGAACAATGTAATGCGAGTGACATTACTAACATTCAGTTTGTTTAACAAAAATACCTTTTTTTTAAACAAGTGAAATAGTGATCTATCAATTTATTGTTAATACACTAAATTATATACTGTATGTTCCTTTGCCCTTTATAGAGGGCAGTATAATAATATCATATTGGGTTTGTTGAGGGCAGCACCATCCCTAGCAACCACCTTTTTAGAGCCAAACAAAGCCAAATCACTTGAAGAATCTAGTCATCTGATCTAAGCATTTTCATTTGAAAACACTAAATCTAGATAGATTTTATGTGATTCAACAAAGGTAAGCATTACAGATACCTTACTCAATCTAAAATTAATTGTTATTTTATTTTTAAAATACAGTACTGTATTGAATTCATTAATTTGACAACACTGCATATATAGGCTTATTTTACACCTAGACTAGAGTATTATTATATTGTTTTAAACAAGATATAAATTATGGATTATAGTAGGTTAAGAAAATA